TAAACAACTGCAATAATGTGCCATAATAAATCCATGAATAGCTGACAATAAACACATTTTAAAATCACTTTATTTTTTCCTTTTTGATCCCTTTTTCTTGTGTATAAACCAAAAAGTAATAATATAATACGTAATAGTAATTAGCTTGCACGTAGGAATGTCTTGTTCATCAGTTTGTCTAAGAAGAATCGCTTTTCAACGGTTTGCTTGATAGCACAGATAAGGATGCATAACAGCCCCATAAGTATCATGAGAAGCTGGCACACTGCCACTGTCATCATTACTTTTTCTTCTAGGGATGAAGCAGAAATTTACCAATGTATGGTTATATACTTAGGTGACCAAACGTCCATGGATACGCTGCGGAAAGTTTTAGTGTTGCTTTCGAAGGGGATCCGCAGTTCAGAAAATTCACAGTGGAATTACACTTTTAATACAGCAGCTAAAGGGCAAATGATATCTTTGAACACATCCCACTGACTAGTTAGCTCTTTCGGAAGTGAAGATAAAGCGTGATTCACGGTAGGAATGGTGTGTTTGGTGGACTGTACAGTTCGGACGTACTGTGCACAGACGAAGGTTGGACAGACTGAGAAGATGTTAGTTACTCAGCAACACTGATAAGTTGAAAGCAGCGCCCTTAGTCTAAAGTGTCTTATTTCAGTTACCTTTCTAAATGACACGCATTAATAGACAAAGCGTGTATTTTGTAAGAAACGAATGCATTTCGTCTCCATGTCACTGCTTGGCATATGTGTTAAGTCGTGGATTCTTAGCAACAAAATGCTTTATGTAAAGCAAGACAGTTTCAGGACTCTCGGTCTGTTTTTTAGCCTTCTAGCTCCTTCCATCACGTTTCTCTAGACTAGCTCACTAATCATGTCTTGTACGAATTTTCGGATGAGGTTGGTGCCATATTCGAACCAAATCTTAAGTTCCACACTCCCACAGTTGAAGTTAGGTATGAGCTATTGACCAACGATTAGTGAGTTGAATCACTAGCATAGGACGAGCGTTTCAAGGGAAAGTTTGTTTCAAAGTAATTCTCAGGCATACGCTGGAACTCAAAATAACTTGCTTGATGCGTGCTGAATCTGAAAGCTTACTTATCCAGTATTTTTTAAGAAAAATTATCTAACTCCTTTCTGCATCAGTCCAAAACAAAGAGTTTAAATCCTTACAACTATAATGTAAGCACCTCTCAGAATGGTCAGCGGCTTTTAGTGAACAAAAATATGGTTCACGGCTAGTTTTTGTTTTCCACTTTATTAATCCGACGCAGTGCGAATTTGCTCGTTTTTTCAGTGTTTTCTTATCATGCTATCTGGGAGAAATAGGTTGCCAGACAGCGGGAGGTTCAGCTGTACCTGACTGACTCATTCACACATTTCACGTTTGACACCCTGACAGCCAGACAAGTCCATTTTTATACTAGACAACATCACAACAAGATGAAACCAGCCAATTCCTAATGGTGTTGCTTCAAGTGAATTGTGAAGCAGCTTTCTATAAACATCGTCCAGACTATGGGGCGATTGATTGAATTTGATAGACAACATAATAATCTTGGTACTAAATCCACTTATAATGATATAAGTAATAAACACACCTCCAGTATTCTACTGGGAACAATTCAAACTTGAGAAACAAAATAATATTAAGACAAGACCGACTGATTCCTTTACGTATTTACCGCGCTATCTTCATTCATTTTTAAGGCAAGTGCACACGAACTCCAGACAGTTTGTTCGGGAATGAATTGCTTTTGTGAATTGCTTTTGTTTGAAATTGCTGAAAACTTTAAATCGGATAAGGACAGCGGACACCCATGTTTATCATCCCAAAAACAATTACTGTGGCGGTTTTTACCCAAGCAACTGAGATGTCGGTACCCATATAAGAACTTTGATAAATTTTTCCATCATAAACCCTAAGGTAAAAACTTATTTACTTCCAGAGAGCACACACAGTCATTATTTCATATCACCTTCTCTTCGCTTAATCCTTCTTGAGAGAGCGTCAATCGTTTTCGATTAGCTTGAGTGAAATGAGACTAGATAGAGATGCAGTACAACAGGTAGCGGAGGGAAACTTGTTGCATATTTTAGATGCGGCTTTCATGTAGCAGGGTAATTGGCGGAAAACGGTTGGGCTGACCACATTTCACTGCCTACTAGACGAGCGCCAAAAATGGATTCTGATCAGGACCAGTTTTTTATCACAACACACGGCAGCATTTTTCTTACGCTCACTGAACACGGTTCATACATCAAAGATGCTGCGCATTCTACCAATTCACTGAAACAAAAAGTGTGTCCTATATGTCTCATATTTCGCCCGTTTCTTCTCGACTACCAAGGTCGTACGTTCAGCTGCAGCGCCCTTTGAGTGCCTAACTGCCATGCCACACGAAGGAGGCACGAGGGCTGGGATACTGCCAGTTTGCCCAAGCCTAGACGAGGGAAGTCGAGTGGCAGAGGTCGGGTTCGAACCACGGCCCTTCCGGTCAGTAAATTCTCGCTCTAACCACTAGGTCCAAGGTCGTACAGTCTAATTTATCTGTTTTTCACCCATTAATTCAACATCTCAAGCGAAATGTCTGGTTTTCCAAATTCTCAAAATACACACAAAATATAAAAGAATAAAACAGGTGATCATTCTGTACAGACCTAAACCTCAGATAGTTGTTGTAGCTTATCTGAATTGCTACTTCAAGGGCTGGTAAAAAGTAGTAATTATTTCTGAAGCTAACTCATAAGAAAAACTGCAATCGCCTCAGAATTTCATGACTACTTCTCTTATCAAGATGGGTTTTGTTTCACAACTGTTAGTTATGCCCTGATGTACACAGCAATACTACGTACGTGATGGTGTAAAAGTTGGTCCTGCAAAATAAATGCTCATCATTGAATATGGAGATTGCTTTTTCATTTTTAGGGTTGAAAACTTCTGCTTACTTCACCGCTAATTTGCATGGGCAGGGCTGTCCTCTCCAGCAGATTTCCTATTTCCTTGAGACTGCCATGTCTAATGGAACTCCGTACAAGTTTTTTTCTGATGGGAAAGTGTACACAGTTTGTCCATTGCAACTAATAAGATTGAACTGCAATAATAGACTGGGTTTGTCTGGAAGCATGGTCGTAGGCTGAAGAACAGCTGCCAGTGACCAACTGGCGACTGAACTGTGCGTCAAAACAGGTATTAAATTTGCCCGAAGCGCGCTTAAGTCGTCATTAATACTTGATTTTCAGAGGGCCTTCCTAATCTGGCTGCCAGGTTCTGTCTGAGTTTTCAACGCCTAGCTAAGGTTTTCCAATTCTTGGTGGAGCTGCGAATCGTATGCGTTTTTGATAGATATTTTCGAGTTTAACAGCAGTTTGTTATTACCATAGGTCCATAGTTCCTGAGAGTTTCACTGAATCGGTTTGTGCATGCTTAAAAATGCATAAAAATTCCTGAACGTTTTAACGGAACGAACAAGTCTCAGGCGATAATTAAAAATGAGCCTGTAGTAATCCAAACGTAACTTGATTCCTTGTTTCTACTCCTTGAATTTTGCATGAACAAATTTTTTCAAACAATTAGTGAAACGATTAGTGCTGTTTGGCCGCGTTCGAACGTTTAAGCATTGTTCTGATTTGGCCGCAATTCGTCAGGAGACCTCACTATAACAGATTAAGTGAGCATCGGAAGTCTTCAAGGAGAAATATTTTGTTCCCAAGTCCAACGACCGGTCAAGAGATTCGAATTTCAGCTTATTGATACTTTTGTCCTATTCCTATTGTGTACATCGTGATTTCCGTTTTGCTGTTTTCGTTTTGAGCCCATATCATCTGTCTTGTTTAGACCTGAGCGTCCTTTGACCTTGTCACTTTTGTTTAAATCAACAGGCAGGTTCCGCCATCTTGTTGGCACCTTCCCTTAAATAGGCACCCGTTTGGAATTGATGTATATAAGCCGGTGTATTCCCACGATTTGAGGTTTTTACGATTTTAAGTAATATTATCCTGCACATAGCGTCGCATTTTTAGATATAGCTCCATTTGAACGGTTTGAATTTTGAGGATGTGCACGCAACTCAACGTGGCCCTAATGAATGCTGAAAACTATCAATACAGCTAACGAAATTTTCGAAAAGAATCCATCACAACTCAAAATCTTCGCTGTGAGTATCCATTCTGTTCACAGGCAGCTCCTAGAATGTGACCAAAAACGAATGATGCTATGAATCCACAGTCGTTTTTTTGCTCTATTACTAACTAAACAAGGCAGCTTCGAAAGATTACTGACGGGTTTCTGTATCAAAAATTACATATGCTCACTGATACGAGAGGAAGATTAACAACTAGAAGTTAACTGGCTCCGAACTATTTACGTCCTTATGTGCACTACCGACGGGCATTGTAGGCACAAGCGAAAGGAGTGGTTCCACAGGCTGAGTCACTCTAACTAGGCTTTGTCTACCAAATCTGTCGCCAGAACTGAACTCGATGCAGCAGCAAAGTGAGATACATTACCTGAATACCTCCAAAAATCTAACGTATCATTTATCTCCAGCAAGAATTTTCATATAAGATTTGGTCAGCCAACGAAGGGAAGCCACTTGTCGCAAACATTTCAGGTTTCCCACGGAGAACCTGGAGACAACTAACGAAATGTGTCGACATACTGGTAGCTCTGGTGAGTTTATTGGTTGTTGATCAGATGGCTGTTGATCTGTATGTTGATCTTCTTGATCTCTTATGGTGACAAAACGTTTGTAGGTCAATTTCCAAGCTCGGCGGACAGATCAACAGCCATCTAAGCAATTTCCAACAATTAACGAAACTACTTTAAGCCGTTACCATGACGACAGTCAGGTGTTACGTTTCGATCGGTATAGAATGTGCTTACATTCCATCCTTACGTCCTATCAAAATTCACGTACTCGTTTTATGTTCATAAAACCTCCAAATCACCGGTCACCATTGGGTTTTTCCTTTCAAATATGTCGTTTTCAGGGTTAATCTACGTATATTCAGTGGATGCTGAAGGAACGGAAACCCTTTGCACATTCATTAACACTGAACACATCACACTGTTGGAGAATACTCGGCTACGATGTGACTACTCGACGAATAGTCCAAGAAATACTACGCTTATCCGTTTGAAGTGGAAAGCACCGAACCAAGACGAGGATGCGGGACATTTACAAATCAAGCTGGTTCATGGTCACATACGAATCTCAATGTCAGAACCTCTGAATGGCATTCATCTTCTCACAACTAGTGCTCCAATCGTGCGGAAAACTGCTAAGATTGATACCACTACCAAACCGCCCCTCCTGCCACTCAACGTAGAAGGCCTCATACTGGAGGATTCTACTGGAAGCCCAAAGCAATATTCTGAAGAATTTCGTAAGTTACTGCAATAACTAGGACGGTTAGTTCGCCATCTTAAAAGTAAAAAATATATTTATTTCAGGTGGTTGTTCAAACATATTTCATGTCAAATCAAACATAAGGACCAAGCAATAAGAGAGGTACACGTATTTTAACCACAGATTTGAAGTGTACATGATCCGGAAGATGGAGGGGTTGCACCCCTTATTCACCTGTTCCATAGCGCTACATTAAACTCCTATTTTTCTTGTTCTTATGAGTAACAGTCCTGCCAAAATGTTTCGTTACCTTTTTGTAGCACCGGTAATTTTAGCTTTTGAGGGTTTCCAGATATGCGTGACTAAAAAAGCCTTAGCAGTGATGGGTTGGTTTGCTTGAATTGATTCAAATGTCAGAGGCTTGACCCGGGGGTCCTCTGATAACTGTCACTATGACAAATGGGCCTCAGGATACAACCGCTCCTGGTGGGACAGCTGGCCTGGGCGAGATCACCGTCGTGCAATTCCCTTTTATATTTCCGTTTTCGGGAGTAGTGTCATTTGCAGCTAATACTGTACGTGAAAATCTTCAACATTTTTAGCTGGCTGCACACTTCGAACGAGAGTATCGATTCGCTCCAGATGTTCCGCTATATTTGATTAGATTTGTATGTCTGATTTACAGAGGTATTTTGACGAGCGAAGTCAACTGTCAAACACGAGCTAAGTGATTACCTGTTGCTGCTTGTTCGGTAGAATCGAACAAGTCGCAATCCGTGTGGGGCACTTGATATCGTGTGCCTGGTACACGTAGTTTCGTACCCATCATTATATAACCGTGGTCGCATATTATAGGATGGATACTGTAACAGTCCCAAACTCCGCAGCCTACAAGCTCAATTACTTACAACATGTCTTCCGAAAAATGAGATTGATTCGAAAGCTTCTTAGAATGTCATCCTTCATTTACCAGTTTTCCTGAAATTTATCTAGTAAGTTGACAGAACCAAGATCACTCTAATTGGTCGTTTGTCCCACAAACAGCCTTCACGTACGTGCTCAGTGACTCGAAAAATGAGATTGATTCGAAAGCTTCTTAGGAATGTCATCGTCATTTACCAGTTTTCCTGAAATTTATCTAGTAAGTTGACAGAACCAAGATCACTCTAATTGGTCGTTTGTCCCACAAACAGCCTTCACGTACGTGCTCAGTGACTCGGACTTTCTGAAAGGCTTAGGGTAAAACTTACATCCCTTATAACATGTTTGTACCCCTCCATGAATGGATGTTTATTTCCAACTGAGTACCAATCTAGCTGTACTTTTACCTCGTTTTATTCGTACTTGGATAGCTGGTCGGAGAGCGGCAGTTTTTCAAAGACAACAGCAATAGTTCCATCTAAACAGTTGTCTGTTAGAATATCGCATAAGGCATTCACATCCCAACGCTGTTAAACTATGGAGATGCACACCTACTTAGACGAGACAAACTATCACGTCCGTGTGTACCGAAATTACTCGCAGAAACTTAGCGCGCTTCCAAAACTTTTTCTATCCACTTTCCTATTATTCATGCTCTTTAACAGGATCTTATGCTTACTTTTACAAATTCAGAGAATTATCAGCTACCACCTTGATAACATTGTTTTCCGTAGTCGAGTTTCCATGAAAATGCTAACAGAAGCATCGCGACCATGTCCTTGAATTTGTTTTGGAAACGTAGGGTGAAAATAAGTTGACTAGGACGCATTTTTTTAGTGCGAGCAGCCAAGCCACAGCGCAAAAATTCACTTTATTATTCGCACTGCTTTTGTACGAGTAAGCACACCTACAATAAACTGGACATATTTCACCGTCGTGGAACCGAATTGCCAGATTTATCAGTAGGTCTTGATCGCATTGTTCCAGCGCTCGCTCATGTTCAACATGAATAACAAAATTCCAGACCGTGCAGCTTGCCATATATTACAAATTTGTATGGGCATCACTTTGCCAAAATTGTCAGCATTCTGTTCAGACTGTTTTCTTATAGCCTTATCTAGAATCATCCATGAGTTTTCGGAAGTGCAAAATCTACGGCTCTGGTGCAATCATTTGACTCGAGTCAGTCTCACAGTGATTTTTATTGCTCGGTGCCTAAAAAATACCCCTCATATTTAGCACTGTTGCATTTTTCACTTGCTCCCGGAAGGTTTTCAAATATCTCACTTTCTTATAGATTATCCAGATCCATCTGATTCTTATGGTAGAACCAACGGTTTTTTGCAGATAGTGCTCGCACGTCAGCTGACCAAACCTTCTGAGGAGTTCCTCAGACATTCTCTCCAGAATCTTGTACTCCATGTGCAGGACTACTACACATTCTAACCTAAACCTGTGGGTTGCTCAAACCTCATCCTTGCAGATCAGTTATAAGCAATCGTGTCTTTCCTATACTCTGTTGCACTCTTTATCCGCAATAGTTTGCTTCCATTTACCCAATGTACGTTTCAAGTACAAATCTCAACTGTAGACTCAACGGAAGAAGACGAGGACATGTTTACGAGTCTGTCACAAACCGGTGATGCAGAGATGCCAAAACCAGAACACAATTTCGATGATCCTCCCATAGGGTTCTACCCCCAATCAACAACAAGTGAACCCAAAACCACAGTGAATGATCCCCGCCAGTGGAATGACTTTCGTCACAGGCGCAACGAGACCCAGTTTGATCAACCGCAGACGGAGAGCCAGCAGAAATCGCCTACCAATGAGAATGATGACAAAAGAGTAAAGGTGCTTCATTACCGTGGAGCATCTAGATCAGTAGATGCACGTCTTCCAGCTAACAAAGTTGATGACAATAGCATGGCCCATTCGAGAGAACGTTTGTCCTTATTAATCTTGTTAGCCATCCTGGTAACTGCTCACTATGCATTTGACGCAATTGTTCAAAATGTCTTTTGCCGTGTATGAATCGACTGTTTTTCAAATGGCGTAGATTTTTTGTGTATCACATCTCGGGAAAACGTCCACTACCAATTCTTTGAATATATTCCCTCTCTTTTAAATATTAAAGCGCCTGTACTAGTATCTGACTGTGAGAATGCGATTATCTTCCATCCATTTTCTTCAAACCATCAAATACCAAACTTTTCTGAAGATGCTCGGACTTCCAGTATGTGTATTTGTAAAGTGTAATACCTGGCGGGATAAACTTTATCTTTTTCTCCGTTCGAACGTTACTCTTCTTGGTAAACCCGTGAAGGTTTCTCAGCTACATCTGCACGCACACATTAGAAAGGCTGGGTTACGGTAGCGGTTGTTTGATCACCTGCTTGTCAGGATATTATGCGGACAACAAGTTGGGAAACATTGTTATCACAACTGTAAGCATGCCGTCTGACTTAACATACGGAGAACAACTTTGGAGCGATTTCAAATTCTTGGATGCTTACAGAAGTCTGTTTTGGGCTTCCGCACATTTATTCCCGATGTTTAATTCGATTAATTACGGTTAAAGTGTACAAACTTGATTGTGTTGGTGAGACTGTATTGTGACTCTCGTGGTATGGTTCAAGCTCCGCTGAACCACAAACAGATAAGTACACACAATCGTGCCCACAGAACGGCCACCCAAGTGCTGTGTGAACAGCAAAGTACATGCATGGGCTCCAGTCAGCAGTGCTGTGAGAGAATTATAAACAAGAACAGTGTAAAATATGAACACAGATACATTCATTGCTGCTCATCATTCAGGCACACCTTCATCTATGATAATACCTTCGCTTATACTCACCCAGGTAAACTGGCGGCGTAAAAAAAACTGAATAAGGCTTGTTAAAATCGGCCCATTTGTTTGGAGTAATGGCCGTACTTTTGCCCGCAGTGGCCACTTCGTTAGTAATTATTTATCACAAGTTTTTCAACCAATCAAGCAATGAAGTTGGGGTTCTATGGGATCTTGGCGATCCGTTTCTTCGAAAATTCTGCAGTCCAAATGAGACTTTGTCTCAGGCAATTACTGCTCGCCGTATTCACATTATGTTACCTTTATATCAATTTCCGCAGTTTCATGGGCTTCGTGGTCTTTTAATCACTAGTCTAAATAATCTGAATAAATAGGTACTAGTAATGCAGTACCCATAAAGTTGCTAAAATTTTTCGACAGCCCACGATCGGTTTCGCCCTTCTTGGGGCTCATCAGGTAGGCGCAGTCACCAGGTTTTCCGTTAACCTATGTTCTACTTGTTTACCCGTTTGTTCTCATTGTTTCGGGAATTGTAAACAGTGAGGTCGCTCACTGATGGCATTCGAACGGGCCGTGTGTATCGATCTGAGACTTTGACCTCTACAAAAAATCTGTCAAGCAAAATCGTTCTCGAAGCGAATAGCGCCCCTATTGTGTCCAAGTCGTCTCAACATATAGCTTACCGACGTTGCAAACGTTTAACCTGTGGGAATCTCCTGTTACCACTTTTCTCAGCCCACTACCCAATGCAACAAAATAAAGCCTTCATTTTGTCAAGACTAGCAGTAAGGCAGCGTGTAAACAAAGTGATGGTCATACACGGAACAGGGTCAAAATAACAGTTTCAGCTGCACTAAAAAATGTGTAACTAGAATCCAGTTTGATGTCTTTTTGTAACATACGTATCTAGCTGGGTGTCACCTTTGAAAGTAACATGATACGCTTTGACCTCAGGGCCCGTTCTGCTTCAGCGGCAAACTTAACAGCGTGATATTACTTAGATTACTGGACATCAACCCATAATCTGAGGTTAAAATCTACTATCTTTCTCGTCGTTTTTCTTTGGTTGTAACCAATAAAGGAACATTTCAGTAATCCATCCCGAATGCCTTGCCTTCGGTACGCAAGTTTTCTTGTCTCGTTCCATCAGACTGCTTTCGATTTTCTGTCTATTTTTCCGCACAGCAGGTCTTGCTTCTTCCCAGCCTGCATTCCAGAGAGTGGGTAATAATATGATTCTCGTTCCGCTGGAAGTGAGAGTAACGTGCATTAAATGTTCTCGTAAAGGCGCGAAATTCAGAAGCATCAAATTAATTAATGGGCTGAAAACCGACAGTATTGATTGGGAAATTTAGCTACCTCTATGTGCACGTTTTATGCTCACTGATCAATGGGTGTTCGTTCTGCATTCCGACCCTCTGCCTTCCTAATTAAAATTTAGCGAGTTAGGTGAGTACTAACTGGACTGCGCTTGGAATTTTTCAAGAGAGTTTTACAAAGTTGTTCCGCCCAGTGTTATTACTCGACATTGTGGCCACCGCGAGGGAGATTCTTCCGGGAAGGAAGTAGCAAAAGCTATAAATAACAGAAAGTGAAACCAAATTTACAGCTAGCGTTACATGAACATTACAAGAAAGAGAAGCCAAGGGAAAGAAGCTCACCGCTATGGTTTAAGGATGAAGGCAACCCATCGCACATTCGGTAGGCATGATTACTTGTAATTACTGATCAGAAAGTAGGTTTGTGTAGACCGGCGCTTAGATTGAAGCACGCAGGTGCTGGTTTTCAAGATTTCATCACAGAAGACCCCGTCTGATCTGCCCAGGCCTCAAAATCACTAGCTGGTGTGAACGATTGCCCAATTATCGCCCAGAGTGAGTGAATCATGTCACACCCCGACTTTTTGTCTGTTAAAAATTGGCTACCAAAACTGAAGATCGGTATAGCAACGTTTTGAAATTCGACAAAACCAAATTTTCCGCTCATTTGTCAAACGATTCGGGTTCAGTGTCATCAAATTCAGTGCTGATAATCCCAAGAATTCTAAAACAAATGGACTAAATGCAGTGAAACAAACACAAGAAGTAACAAATTAGAAGGACATTCAGGATTAAACTTTTCTAGAGATTCCAAAACTCGGAGCAATTTTTTATTGGTCCGCTCCAGCACAAATCACTACTCGTATGGGTATATTTAAATAAGTACTCCACTCCAGTCATACATACTTTAAGTTTGATACATCGAGTATAGATGAGCATTCAAAAGACTGATTTCATGTATTTTACTGCTGAGACAATAAATCTTCATACATCTAGCGGAAAAACAATACATAACTTCATCAGAATGGTATTCTGACTCGACTGGACACAGATGGTCACTTTCCAATCAAACGTTTTCTCTTGTTTGACATGTTCGGCTGGCTGTTTTGCTGGACAAAAGATTTGTACCAGTTCGTTTATGAAATCTGGACGGTTTTCAAAAAAAGTATCCACTATTATTGCACGTTAAGGCTTGCTTCATAATGCAGTTGCGGAAGAGTCGTATGCAAATGAATAGAACTAAAACGTAGTTGATTATTTGAGCGAACATTTTGTTTGGTTGACTGTCTTTAGGTATACACGGACTCAACGTTTCATTAACTGTGCGCTATTTTCTTCAGCGGCATAAAAAGCATAATTGTGAAGGCCTAAGTAAGCAGAGTTTGGCTGGCGTCTAAGTGTGTGCGGTCGACCTTTAAGAGGCGGTTTGGTTGGTTAGATTATGGCCGTCACATTCATGTGGGTCGAAGGTTAATGCAGGAAGTCAGGCTATTGGTCTGCGTTCACTTGCTCTGACCACTCGGTGGACATGGACTGACCATCGTTTCACCTAACACAAGAGACTATGCGCGGATTCCCACTACCTCCATACAGCCCTCTTCTACGTGAATTATCCAGCTTATTGTGAATCAGTTAAGCCTAGTGCAACGAAACACAGTAATTGTACATTTAGGCCTGAAGGTGTACATAAATTTCGTGCCCTCTAACAGCCGGTCCACGTTTTCAATGTAGGTGGCATTGTATTGATCCACGTTTCAATGTAGGTGGCATTGTATTACCCGAAACGGATTTTGTACACCCATTCGGTTTGTTCAACCAGGTTTTCGGGATCATTTAGAAGTGCCACATGACTGCGAACAATATTGTCACTTATGAAGACTGCCACATGAATTTTCTTAGGTGACTATGCGCTGTATAGAACCTAAAAAGGTGGTAGGATGGTTATACTTCCTGGATTCTGTCCAATTTGCCACCGATCGAGAGCACTAATAGCAATCGATGCTGGATAGTTGTCCCTTCAGCTCTGTCCATCTGTGATTCACATGTAAGAAGGGATCTACTCTGCAACCTGAAAGCACCGGATAGAGCAGAATGAACAAACCAAATTCGACCTTTGACATCATGATAAAAGTTCACATTAGGTGTTCAGGTTGATATTTTCCACAACTCCCACACGACTTTGAATATAATAGACGGTGATGTAAACACAAAATCTACTAATTAAATACTCAGTGAAGGGAAAAGTTACTGGTAGAAACCTATGGGCTCACAACGGGACCCACTTCTGGATGACAGTGACCAGGCGTCCTTAATCGAGTTCAGATATACATTTGAGCATACATCGCCAAGGAATGCACCCCATTGAAGGTGTAAATAGTCTGCGTCAGCGCAAGCTATAACCACCACGTACAAACGTAAGCTGCAGTTGCATCTCAACAATTACACTGTTAACTCACTGGGAGCGGAAGAAGCCGTGATAATTTAGGCCTAAAATGCTCTCACCACTCGAAGTAGTGAAACGGCTATCAAGTAAACTCCTACTCAGAGGGAAAGGATGCGGAAGTTCATTAGAAATCCTGTACTGGGGTATTTTGTCTCTTAGCGCTTTGGATTCACTTTTTACCACTGACCAGTAACTCATTTTTTAAGCAAATTCCCCTCTTCGTACCATATCTTGCAACATGTTTAAATCCACATATTGAAGACCACATCTTTCGAGATTTACTAGCATGCGTGTAACATGTTTCTTCTCGTATCTTCCTACTAGTTGCTGTGTCTGATTCTTACTTCCTCCTTGATCGTGACTGTCAGGCTTGCTGATATTTCCAGTAGTTGATGATAACTCAGCAAACGAACTGGCTATTTTTCGCATTGTATGAGTCCCATATCGTCAACAAACTATCTTACGAATCTGCGTATCCAGCGAAAACTCTTTCGATGATTGCTGGCATTGTTGTTATAGTTGGCAGGGATCCGTCTGACTTATTGATCAGAACTTGAAAACCTATCTTTAGCACATTGTGTGACGCAAATATCCAGTATGCAATTCTGCACATCACGCCACCTACCGTATGGACACTTATGGGAAGGTATCCCTGATTT